GTTATTCTTATCCTAGAAGAATAAAACAAGCATTGAGCTAATAGCAGGGTCACCCAGACTCCCAAAGAAGCTCTGCATCTTAAAAGCAGTAATCTTAAAGGTCAGCTGAAAAAAATGCACAGAAATGCTAATATTGTCTTTAAAATTGTACTGTAAAGAAAATAAAGACATGCATACCAAATGACTCATGCCTTATAAACTAATAATTTTTAAAAGTCCACATACAAAATGCAGTGAAATTAGTCACCCTGTAAGAATAAAAGCTCCTTTTGTGACATAATTCATTTTCTTAAAAAATAAAGCTGGAGTGACTTAAACGAACACTCTCTCAAAGGTTAAATAAATTGTAATGCCATAGAATTACTGGTGTTTCAAACATTTAAAGGTCAGTTACTTTTTTTTTTTTCATTATATTTAAGCTTATCTTGTTATTTCCCTCACCTAAGAAAGTTTTGGAAGGTCCATTTTGACATGGTAACACTGTTGGAAGGGCAGCTCTAGGCCAAACAAGGTGGGTGGTACGAGTTGCTTTCTCTCTGTCAAGCCAGCATCAGCACGAGCCTACATGCACATATAGCAAGAAGGAATGATAAAGATTTGATCTCAGTAAAACTGTGCCAAGAAAAATGTTATGCCCAAGGTAGCACACACCAGCCTTAGGTTTTTGCCACATAAAGAAAAATTTTGATCTAAATTAGACATTTAGTGGTCAGGATAAAAAGTATTTTTAAGTCCTGGCACCCTCTTTTATCTATGAAGTATCAATATATGTACATTTTAGAAGATCACATGAATTATCTTTGATCATTTTTGACTAATAATGGGAAGATGTTTACTTTGTGGAAACTGCTAACCTACAAATAGAAGAAAACAACTGGTAAAATTGTTGTTTGGCAACAACAACAATCATTGCCAAACTGTTGGCAACAAAACGGCATATCATCAATACACCATTTAAGTGGTCCTAGCACATAAAGTTTTAGGTAGAAAGCACTTATGATCTTCACTGTCTCTCCCTCTACTAGACAAATTTTGTTTTGATCACTTACCTTTGCAGGAACAGCTCCTCCTGCTGTGTTAAAATAAACTCTTTCAGAAATTCCTATCCATGTTGGCCTATTTATCAACAGGTAACAGACCAATTAATTCAAATACCTTCACCTATTGTGAGGTAGAATCAATATATATTTAAAATATTGTAACAGATGTTATTTTCATTATCACTATTGAAGCGTGACATGTAACAGCTTGTCCAAATCGATTTTCAAATAATCTTTGACAGAAAGATGGTTCCTCATATCCTTCATGCACATCCCTCCCTGAGTGCGTTTTGAAATGTTACATTTTATTCTCAGTATTTGTGGTATCTTATCCCTCCTTTTCATGTTCTGTTGTTATACATATTAAACTTATTGACTTATTGCTACCTACAGTGGATAACTGTATGGAAACAGTATATAAATTATTATAAATTACAGATTTATAATAGATTCTTTTTCATTCCTGAGAACCTAGGATTTAGAGGGTTGAGAGGAAGGGAAGGAATCTTAAGTAAAAGAAAAAGAATGAAAAGAGAAAACAACATTTCAGTGACATGAAAACATAGCATTAGGTGATATAAAGAAAAAAAAATAGACTGATAAATAAATTAAAGGAAAGGGAGTATTTTTAGGAAGCACTTATTTTGGCCTTTGGAATAACTGAATGTTTTTTTTTTTTTTGATTTTGCACATTTCATGTAAGCTCTCTTTAAAAAAAAATCAAGATTATTTTTCTTTATAATTTAAGTTAAAAACTATATGTTCTCTCCATTGCCTTTTTTTAATATAAGATATAAATGTAAAAGTTATTAAACGCATCTGAGAAAACAGGAAAATGCAGGAAATAAATTCAATTAAGTATTCAGATGCATACAATTTAAAATAATAAATTCASTTCATTTTCTAGTTCWTTTTCATTTTTCTCCAAGAAAAATGAAATTTCTCCTGCTTTGTGAATCTAAGATATTTTAAAGTGRTCAGCAAGCTGAATAATTTGAACTTCGCTACCTCAGATTTGTACCTTGAGTGTATTGAGTTACACTTTGTATATTCTGGGTTCTGTTTTCCTTCTCTAAAGTAAACGTTTGAGTAGAGATATGGCCTAGGGTTGTCTTATCCTAATAGTGAGGACAAAAACAGCAGCATATTCTCCCTTAAGACTTAAAACTCAATAAAGAACAAAATTCTTTCATTCTGGAATCTGCATAATGCTTTAACTACCATCACATTAACCATTGATTAAATGTTTGAGAAAACTGTAATTTGGAACCTTCTCAGTGACAGGTGCAGCCTAATGTTTTTGTGTTACCAGTTTATGACCCAGTCTGTGTAACAGGAAGGCAAATATAGTAACAAATACACTGTATATTGGTATTTTCATGACTTAAATATAAAAATATATTTATTATTTATAATAGCATCCCATTACAAATAGAAATGAACACTGTTCTTCTAAAATGATGCACAAATAATATAATAACAAAAGAAAGATCTTGAACATCTGACAATAAAAACTGACATGGTGACTATGAGCAAACATACATAAACAAGCCAAATGAAGCTTTCACAAAGAAAGAATTTTGATTAAATGGTGATCATCAGGAAATGAAGTTACTTAAGCTCTGCTGCAGCAAAAGAAACCTTTATTTTACTCTCCCTCCTGCCTCCACGGCATACTGGAGATCAACTAGAAAAGACAAATCCAAGATCACCTGAATCGCTTAGGAACAGTGGAAGACTTTTCTATCTAGAAAGAAACCTATAAAAATCACTTTAATTTGAAGAGATTCATGTTTCACAATCTGCTAGTCAACTCAGAGAGGAGAGGTTGCATGTTACCACTTCTCCACTTGGAATTTCCTAAATATGTTATTTCCATGGGAATTTCATGTTTAACACCCCACTGAATAAAACAGCAAAGAATGGTTATCTACTAAATTGTAGGTTTTGTAGTGTTAAGAAACAAAGAAAGCTGAGCAACTCTCCAAAGAATGCTCTGTAATATCTACAATCATTTCAGCAAAAAAAGCAGTATTCTCTAAAAGAATTTATTATACAAGTAGCTATAAAGAAAATAACATTGAGAGTCGGACTATATTTCAGGATCTAAAGAGCGTGATCCTGTGCAACATGCTCTAGGTAACTCTGCTTGTGCAGGGCGGTTGGACTAGAGGTGCCTTACAACCTCAACCTTTTGTAATTCTGTGTAACCATTATTGGGTTACAGGGGTATTTTCTCATTCTACCAAAGCTTTTTTCCTATTTCAGTCATARGGAATTTAACCTGCCTTAGGGTTATAGGATCATGCTATAAGATAGAGGGTTTTTTTTAGAAATCCAATTTTTTGATGGTAAGAATACTTTCAGCTATTCAGGGAAGACAAAAAACAATTGCATTGCAAGAAACCTTGCATCTGACCAAAATCATACCACTACTATTTTGTTACTATCTCCTTTGAAGTTAGTCACCTAGGACTGAAATTAAATGCTGCTGCTTTATTAAAGAAATGCTACAAATCAAATGTCAAGCATATGTGCACAATTAAAATTAGTATTATCAACACTGTGCTAGTAGTGCTGAGCTCAGAGCTGTTGATTAATTAACCACTCAGTAATGTGTAAGCTGTGGAGTGAAGCCACCACAAAGGGGATCTTCCATTGCTGCTGCTACGGCACAACAGAACATGGTCTCTGTACACAGGGCAACCTGTAATTGCTTGATTAAACAAACAAAGCAAAAACTGTGGCACTCACAATGTCTTAAGCTCAGAAATAAAAGGAACAGGCAATTATGCCAGCAGCCATCTCTATTCACCACAGTCAGAGTGAAAAAATTGCTTCTTCGGTTCCGGTTCAACATCGCAACGTTTGACATACCAGAAGCATACTAATATTTCCCACCTTTTTTCATTTTGATTTTTGCACAGGAAAAATAAGCAAGCTTTAAGAATCACTGCACTGGTTATCACATGCATTAGTATGTCCCTGCTGTGTACTTTGAACTAATAATGAAACAATTGCTTTGTGTATGTTCACACCAAATACAAGATGAACCCTTTTTCTCTCTATTATAGCTCCAAGAGAAAGAACAAAGAGAAAAAAGAGAATTTTTTGAGCTTACAGAATTAAGCATCTTAGCTAACTAAAAGTACTTTCGTTATTAATTACAGATATATTCCTTAATGTATTTTTCCAAAATTAATAATGCAAGCAAGATACCCTAAGGACAATAATTTCAGAAATACAGACCAATCAATTTTGTGTAATGCATAATATGCTTCTAAGAGCAAGAACAGTGTAATTTTACAGCTCACACACTACAGGCAGACTGATGCCATTTTCAGAAATCCAAATGCAAGTTCAGTGTAATGAGTCAACTCTCTGCAATTTAACATAATCGCCCCTGTTTACACTGTCTGCAGGTTTGGACGTGTTTAATATGAGGGATATATCTTGAAACTGTCTCTACCTTTGCATATAAGGTTACTGTACTTATAGTGCAAATGGACAGTCATTACACATGTGGCAGTCGTATAAAAATGGAGAGTCTCAGCGAGGGTGGACCCTCAGTCAAATTAGAAACAGAAATCAGTTCAAGGAAGTTGGAATATTGTCCTTCCCTTTGGAAAACATACTAACACCTCATTTCCATTCCAGGTCCTAATTATTAAGCCATGTTTCTCTGATGCAATTCCACAGATAAGGAGGTTTGTCTTCTATCACAGAATGTCACAGAGTCGAGAACATTCTTTTGCCATATGATACTACAGAGAAGCTTCCCGATGAGGAAGAAGTGTCCTGACTTTCCAATCTGGAAATGAAGTCTGGGAAAAGAACTAATTGAGTTTATAAAATCAGGAATATTGCTAGAGAACTAAGAAATCAAAATTAAGAACAAAAAATTAGCCTAATGAATGTAGCCTTATTGTCCTCTCCCAACACATAAACCAGTTAGATTTCTGTCTTGCTTTCTTGGAATCAAGATAAAAATATAAGCTTTCAAGGGACAGTGCAGCTAAACTTTCACAATCACTGCAAGGTCCTGCCTGTCTTTTACTGACTTGYGCAGCAGGCTCTGTCCTGTAATACACACTCAAGTAATTTCACTCCTAGAGTAACTTTCCTGAGCTGAAGCATCTGCAGGATTGGGCCAATTGTCAGTCATTTCCATCTTCTTCATAAATCTCTACACATTGAAAAGCCACCCCTCAGCTTCTTTGCATGTTAATATTATGCCTTCAGCTGAATGGAAATGTATTCTTCCCAGCACTGTCACAGTTGCATATCTTTAATTTTAAGTAGGTAGACTTTTAATTCTGAACCACCATATTGGCTAATGGCTGCTGGGTCTTTTCATACTGTTTTTCTCATGTATAGCTACTCTACTGCCATTACTATTCCAAATCTTCCATTGCTAGTTACAGTATGAAATTATCTTGGAAAAGAAACTTATGGATTGAGCCAAATTTAAGTAGGCATTT